AGATCTCCCGAACATACACAAAATTTTTTATGAAAATCGGTCAAGCCGTTTCGAATGAGTTCAATAATACATAATGTGAAATGGCTTGACCGATTTTCATGAAATTGTTTGTGTATATTTGACAGGTCTGAGAATAAAACAAATGTATATTTGTTTAAGCTGGTGTATTGAAGTGTGGATCGTTTCAATTATTATATAAACTTTTTAAATTTAAAATTTGTAATTATCATAATGAAAAATAAGAGGAATTTTATGAAACAAGATAATAAAAGACTCATTGGTTGCGCAAACATGAGTCTACGTATTTTTGAAAATCGGTTAACCCAATTTTGGTTTATAGCCATGTTTACATCCTCATTACTCATTAGTTATTACATTTTTTTTTTTTTTTCATTAATCCTCTAAAATTATTTATATTAATTGGATTATTGACAAATTATTAAATTAAATGTGGGAAAATAACCTATAAATGTCAAAAAATGACTTAAAAAGTAATAAACACCAAAAAAATACAAAATAAAAATAAGTTATACGAATTCACATGCTAATGAAACATATTTGTGGCCAAGAGAGCATCGTCTAAAAAGTTCCAAAAAAAAAAAAAAAATGCAAAATGCATCAATTTCCGATCCCTATTCATTACATATATTATTTATTATTTGTTTCTTTTGTTTAGAAAATAAATATATTCGTCTCCATAGCAATATGATCATTATACAGGTCGTGTGTATTAAATAAAATATGTTTATTGTTTAAGACTGACAGAAACGACAATTTTTTAGATATTTTTCATGCTCTTAACGTTTACAACACTAAATTCAAATGTATGTTTTATATATTCAAAACTTGTGCTCAAAGCCATTAATTTGATAATAAAGTAATACATTATTAAATTTTACATAGATTTATGTTTTCATAATTACTAAAGAGTGGATACTCTTGAATTAGTATATTTTTTTCTTTCAATAATAAAAGTTGCAAAATAGGATATAAATTAGTTTTGTGGTCTTTGTAGAATACGAAAAATTGTTATGTTACATTTATTTGCATACTTCGATTCATTTTATTTGGTTTAGTTATTTGGTATCTTTAGATTTTACCGGATATTTAACATTATATTTTATTTATTTCAATTGCTAGTTTTGAAATGTTATCTTTATCTATAAAGATAAAATAAACATTAGTTTATTAATATATATATTATACAAGGTGCCAATGTAGCGTGCGATTTATCACTTACATATGCTCTACCTGTGATCTACCCATTACTATCCAGTTCTTTATCGGTAAAAAATAGAGGCGTACCTATCTATATGCTTCAGTCACATTTAGATCTGTATTGTTGGAAGGTGTGGTGGAAAAGTGAAACAGATTTATTCATTGCTTTTTTAAATGATATGCGTGTTACATTCATAAATAGCGATTAAAACGAAACTTTTATTTTAAATATTTATTTAACGAAATTTATATTATGTGGATGTGATTTTGAAATTGTGATTTTTGAAATACGTGTGAGTCCACCTCCTCGTGGTTTATTTTAGATAATGCTAAGCGGCTCACAAATCGTGTTCACTAAAAACAGGCTGGTAGATTACGCTGTAAACCAGAAACTAGCTGGTAGATCACACGCTACACTGGCAGCTTATACAAAATAGGATAATATTAACACAGATAATATTGTTATCCATAAATGGTCGAAATTTGATTTCTGTGGAATACCTACAGCCCATACGAAGGCTTTTCTTTAAGTAATCTATTTTATTTTTATTTTAAGTTTGTAAGAGTTTAAATAAATATTATTTACAATTTCATCACACATTTTTATGGTTTTACATTTACTTACATTATTTTATCCTATTCGTTTATTCGCATTATCGTTTCATATTTTAAAGTATATTTTAAACTTATATAAAGTATATATTACAATTTTTTGGGAATGAACATCCATACTTTAGTTATTATTTTAATTATATTTGATGTTATCATAAAATACTATTTTTGGATTATATTAATTTGTTATGTTTTGCATTTAATAGACTGAAAAATAATAAAACAATACCGATCCCACTTCGTACTAAAATAGTTCATATTGTTACTAAGTTATTACAGTGTATCGTATTTTTTTTTTTTTATCATTATCAATTATCGTTTCTGTCGTATGTAATGATGAAGCTATTGATAAAATGTACAATTCTGTTTTAAGAATAATTACCAAAGTAGACGTGATAAAGTTGTTAAAATATATTCCCAAAGTAATACTTAAAATAGAATATTTATATAATTTATGGGAAAAATACGTATAAAAACAGATTTAAGTGTTTTATTAAAAGATTTATTTTTTAATTTACCTATATAAATAATGTAGAAAACTTATTTATTTTTAGCATTTATAAGTAGAGAGTTAAAAAAATGAGAGAAAATAGACTTAAATGGTTTGCGTATGTGATAAGGCGAGAGGAAACAAAGGCATGGTTATTAAAATGAACATTGAAGGGAAAAGAGGAAGACCAAAAAAGAGATTGAAATGATTGAATATGATTGAGAATGATTTGAGGGTTATTAGTGTGTGCGTAGGGGATGTATAAAATCGAGATGTGTGGAGGTTTAGGACAAGGGTGACCGAACCCAAATAGTTGGGTGAAAGGCGAAGGAAAAGAAAAAGATATGTAGGGAATTAACATTGCAGTACTAACATTTTTTTTTCAAAGAATTTTCAAAAACAATTGATTAGTCTTAAGGTATTGCATTTTGTGTGCTTTTCTACATTACACAAGAGTTCACACAGAATGTTTTCATTCTGAGTGAAACAAAAAAAATAGGTATTGGTTGATTCCGACCGGAAGATATGTTCCAATATTCACAATTATTCAAGATTTTTGATAAAAGATGTTTTCTTGTGGGTACTTTTAAATAGATAAATTTGCAAATGTCCCAACAGTTTTTTTAATAATAGCAAAAAATTGATTAACGTATATAAAAATATGGTACAATTTACAGGTGTACTGAATTCTGACACAATCGAATTTTTATTTTTATCGTAATGAATAAAAAAAATTGATTAGTTTAAAATGATTAAAATCATCTACCATGAGCATATATGTTCCAATGATGCTTTAAGGATTACGACGCTAGTGACGGGAGTGTAGTAATCAAGGTAGTACCACGACATATCTTAAATTATTTTGTAACCTTTACTTTGAATTGTTTTCCTTGAGTGGTGACGAAAACAACTAGCTATTAAAATACTTTTATATCTGGAAACGGGTTATTAGTTACTATGTTAAACGGGTACATTAGACAGTAAGAATATTAATATTATTTTTGTTGTATTAATTAACAAGTTAAACGGGTATAGTTGTTTTCGTATACATTTTTGAAAGATTAATATTGTTTTTGTTTTTATAGAACAACGAAAAGTCTTGAGTCTTTTCCTTGTTCTTAAGTGTTTTTATGCACTACGCCCGACTATCTGTGTATAAATTGGGTCGTCATGTCAATGCTTAATTAGATACAATGTAACCAGACTTAAGAGTAGACCGATACGGTTAAACTTACAACTGTTAACTTATCGGGTTACCTTTATGTTGTGTCTCAGTAATATAATAAATTCAGATTTATAACTTAAACAGTGTTTTTTTTCATTTTACTCCAACGGACGTGTAATTTACTGCAACAAGAGGTGATTTCGTCATAAAACGTTTTGAGTCAGTTCTGATCAGACCAGCTCACTACAGGAGTGTGATGGCGTATACTGTACGTTGGTTGCCTATGTAGATGTCAATATCAAATACAAGAATTGATTAATGTATAATTACACATAATTTTCTAGTATACGATAAAAATCACAAAAACGTTTAAGTTTTTATACTGATTTTTAAAAATTGAATAAATGATTTTCTTTATAGAAAAAAAACTGTAGGAAAGTTATGATTTATATGCGTTACAAAATGAAATGTTGGTAAATAATTGAATATTTCAACGAATTTCCCTAAAACAATATTAGTTATTTAGATTAAGACATTTAATATTTTTGAATCATTTTGAAGTTTTTGAATTATTAAATATGTACTATTTATAGGTCTTTAACATTTTTGAATTTCTCAAATGTTTAGATGCTTTTTTGCGAAAATTTGAACATGAAATGTTCAATCTATCACATTAAGAAATGTATTTTTTTTTATTATAAAGACCATCTTTAGAAATATAAACTGATCCACCCGACTTATTTTCTTAGGAATCTTTTTTTTTTTCGAGAGCAATGGAACATTAGTATTAAGTTTAAATGATAAATACAGTAATATTATTTATTCATCCTCTGTAGAAGTCCAGCCATCTATAAATAAAACACTTCATTATGTTTATGTTTGAGAAATTAATTGTGAATAATTTATGAGTTCATCAAATATTTTTACACAGATCCTAATGTTGGTAAAAAGAATTCTGATCAGTTTTTAGGTTGGTTACTTATAATCATTTTTAGAAATCACTCGTCTCTAGGATTGATAAAACTGTAAAATAATTCAAAAGTTTTCTATATCCGGTAGAAATCTAACCCCCTATGTCGATTCCTATGGGGTTTATCGTATGGATGCGATTTCTTCGTAGTTTTTCCCTATTTTCAAGGGAATTCTAAAAAATATATTTCTAATGTACCTTCCACCTGTGTCCAATTTGCAAGTTATAGAAAGATGTACGTGAAACTTAAGGAAAACTTCAAGCCGTCAGAAAAGTGATTGCATACAACATATCAATGGTGAAAATTGGAAACCATGTCTTAGATTTAAATTGTTTTTTTATATTAGAATAACAAGAATAATGAACATCAATTTAAAATTTTATACTTAATATATAAATAAACAATAATTTTTTATATATATTCATTTTTATTATAATAATACTCCAGACTAAAAATGTATTTATTTATTTCTATACACATAGTACTATTTATTTATTTATTTACACAATAATTTGTAAGTATTTACCATTTAATAATTTTGAATTTAAATTTTCTTTTTGCTATATATTATTATTGCATGTTTATAGTTATACCATTATGGTGTTCACATAAATAACCATATTTTTAAGAAGACGTGTGGTTTTGCATCTTCAGCACTGATGGTTAAACACTTAAAAATCAACGCACGTTACTACTAATCTAAAACCGTTATTATATCTCTCGAATCGATAATGATGATGATCAATTAATTGATTAAAATAAAATAAGATCGATTCACATATATTCTGTATATATAATACATGTGTACATAAGCAAACAAAATAAAGGACAAATCGCACTTGTTTATAGCAGTAAATTATAAAATAATTATATTACAGTTTATAATTTAATCACTACGCAATAATATTAAACAATATTAAAAAAATTGACATTAATTGATAGTAATATCAAGTATGAAATATAACTATGAGCAAGTGTAAGACTAGACGAAACGTAGCTAGTAACATTGTCGTAAATGGCACTGGTCATCCCATCCAAGTAGTCTGTAAAAAATAAATAAAAATATTAAATTATATGTCTACAGAAAATGTAAGATAGAAAAATTTATTCAACCTAATTACCTTCGGTAACGTTGACGTTATATTTGTAGTTGTTCCCTTCAAAAAGTATTTCGTTCGACGATTCAACGGCGGTGACGATTTCTAAAAAATATAGTAACGTTATCGGAGCAACTACAGTTGGGGGGGGGGGGGAGCGAAAAAATGAGTTCAGGGAAAAAAAAAGGCTTCAATTTTTAAGACTATTACTTAGTTTCCAATAATTGGGTACCACTACGTTTTTCATTAAAATAGTTTTTATTATTAAAATTGTACTGAGACTTGTATTCCATATGATAATTTTAATATTTTATGATCGTACCGTAAAGTTTAATGATACCATCAGTTTCGCCGAGAGCGTTCACCGCTACACATCTGTAACTACTGAAATCTTCAAGACTAACGTTCGAGATGTGTAAAATCATTTTGCACACGTATCCGGTTCTGATTTTTTCGTCTACGAATCTCGAACCTGCGTACACAAACAAACAATGATACAGTTTCTGTTAGGAATGGTAACTGGTATTTTATTTAACATGCGACAATACTCTGAAAGCTCAAAGTGTATTTTTTTGTGTATAATTGTATATTGTATATACATTTACACATGCGATCGAACTGGATAGATATATTTGAATTAATCATTTCAGATATATTTACTCGTATATATATATATAAATATAACCTATATATTTATACATCTAAAATGATTAATTCATATGATTCGAAAGTTTACATCAGGTAATATTTGAATGGAAATGTATATTTGTGCTGTACAACTAAAGCGATAGGTTTGGTTTAGGTTTTAATCATTTTTGTTTTCCGATTAGGTTACAGAACTATTGTTGAAAAATGTAATTCAATTTTAAAAATGTTTTCCAACTGTTTTTCAATACAGCTGCATACGTTGTACGGTCAGTGTTTTTGAAAGATAACGATAAATATGTATAAACACTCACTTCCCATTAACGGCAACGAACAGTTTGAAAAATATGTTTACATTTTAGCTTAATTAATTTAGTTAGTTAATTTTAGTGTTTTCTTTCAAACCTGTGTTAACATTCATGAATATCTAACGTTTTTAAAAATATACTATGATAACATTTAAATACTTATTAAGTTATAAATAATAAGTATAATCTAAGGATAATGTCGATATTTTCAGATATGAAATAAAAAAAGTGGATACGATCATTGTAAGATGTAGTAGTTTTTAAGCTTAAGTTAAACTATTTTAAAATACTTTAAATAAATAAATCTATAAAAAATATCATATTGTCATCGTTTTCGAAAATATTTACCATACATCATATTATTAAACTTCATCGAAAAGCAATGCTCGTGATTTTTTAATTATTTCTTTTATCTGATGTGAATTATGACAAATTCGCTTGACTAGAAATTCTTAAGTCTCAACAATTTTGATAGTACATTTTATGATGAGAACGCAAAGTATAAGCTTGGAAGAGAATAAAAGGCAATGCAGAATACTAGAATATGCAGATAATATTATCATATTAGGATCAAATAGGTAAAAAGTGAAAATGGACATCAAAAAGCACAAAACAAATAGTAAAGACATCGGATTACAAATTAACGAATCGAAAACTAAATATATGGTAATACCAAAAAGAGAAAATCATGAAGAACACTTAGAAGTTGAGAATTTTAAGTTTGAAAAAATACATAGTTGAAAATACCTGGATGCTATAATAAATAGCAAAAAAGATTAGTACGAAAAAATTAAAATTAGAACTACTGCAGCGAATACATTATATTATGAGTTAACGAGGATACTTAAATTAAAACAAGTATCGATCAAATCGAAAATTTCACTATAAAAAGTAGTTATCAGACTAGTTATTTGTATGCGTGTTGAAAATGGTCAACAACCAAAGGAGATGAAGATAAAATAGCAAATTTTGAAGAATATTAAGAAGAATATATGAACCAAAAAGAAATAATATTACACGACAATATGAAATAAAAAGCAATATAGAATCACAACAGTTATATAAAGAACCGGACATGGTAATAAGTATTACATTATAGAAGAATCGCATGTATTGCCTATGTATGGAGGTTAAATAGTCTAATGAAAGCGGTATTAAAATGGAAACCCTTGGGAAAAGATCACTAGGCCGGCCAAAACAAAAATGAATAGATAAAGTAAAAAAAAAAATTAGAAATATTTGGAATCCAAGATGGAGAAACAGTAGCATAGAATAGAGATAGATGGAATCTGATTTGTGCTGTGGTAATGGACCTTTAAAAACAGAATAAGAATAAGTTAAAAATTATTATAAACTAATAGATTAACGAGAATCTTATTATTATAGTTATAACGCAAACAATAATATTTTGTTTTGAAGATTATATTATCATATTGTTGTTGTGTGTGTATAGCAATATGATTAATGTGCCTGCAACGACCCGAGAAGGTGTTTTTACTATTATATTTGTTGTTTCATTTTTACTAATGTTTGTCGTACGTGAATGCGTCTTTTTCGATTATTACGAGGTTTATTCCGGTTATTTTATAACGTTATTCGTATACATAGTTATATATGTAGTACGTTAGTTAAAGTATAATTCGTGTCGATTCATTTAGGCCTTACAAGATTTTCATTGTTTTAAATAACAAAAAATATCTCAGGACACTGAGATAATAACAAACAAATTAAATTATTTTTAGTAATTATTGTGTACGTGAAATAATTATTGTTTTACGGGTACAGCTGGAATGAAATATGTCTAATATTTGTTTACACTTGAGAATGTAAATACTATAATAAATGTATTTTTATCATTATTTAATGATTTAATCTTTAAACGTACCAGAAACGATCATATCCCCGCGTTCGTTCGTCCAGTAATTGATCGAAGGAGGATTGGCTTCAGTGTGGCACTCTAGTTTCGAATAGACCCCTCTTCGAGCTCCTTCTAATTGATTAGGAATCATCAACATTGGCGGAACTACAACGATATTCCAATGATATTACACATCAGGTATACCAATGGCCTATATACGCGCCGGTATGCAATTTCGATTTTACAATATTTTATACTCTGTATCAAGCTGTATATGCTAAATGCTGAATAATATAATTAGATTTAGGCGGTGGGCACTATTTTTTTTTCTGAAATCCGAACCACTCCATTATCGCGCTCAGTTGTTACTACCCTTATTTCCATTGTAACCACCTGTGTCTCCATCATTGGTAAAAATGTTAACCCTCTGCCGACTTTCACAGTGATAATGTACTATTATATCGATCATTGTATCCGTTGGTCGCATTTAACAATACTCACAGTGTACAGTGACGTTGATACGTTTACTCCTTGTTGGCGGTACTCCGTTGGAAGCCACGCACAGGTAAGGTCCCATGTGCAGTCTGCTGATTTTTCTGATTGTTAGCTTTTCACCATCAACCACGTTAACTGTGAAAACAAAAACAATATAAATGTTAAGAATGACAATATGTGTATACAATATATATACAATATTTATCTTTCATAACTATTTTTATTCATTATGTCCATATTTATATCACTGTCATTAGTATAATTTATTTATTTATTTTTATTTAATATATTTTTTTTTTTTTGTAATCTAATTGATTAGAATAATTATAGAATTTATCGTGTTAGAAATTATTACAATTTAATAATTATATTGTAATTATATTGACTTATATCGTAGCATTGAACTCTGATTTCCGCACAGCGATTCGTTTATTATAATTATAAATATTATTATTATTTTTCACATTATTATTTAATATTATTCTCATTGTTATATTATTCATTGGGATACTAATTATTATTAATAAATTATAAACGATGATGATGGTTGAAATTAGAGCTCTCGAATTTGAACATGAATTAAACTTCATGTTGTCAAGTGTTTTTTGTTCACGTGTACTTAAATATAAAAGTCCATGAATTTTATTCACTTGTAATTAATTTGTAAATCAAACATATTTACTCTACGTGTGCTTAAAATAAAATCTATACATTTAAAACTAAAAATATTTATTTTTATTCTACTAAAAATAAATGTTTCATATACAGTATTATCGTAAAATGATGAAATGGGTTCCATACGACAGCGAGTTGGACATTTCTACGATTCGAAAATAATAAAATATCAAACAAAATAATAAACGCGTGATTTAATAACAAAATTCACACGAACTCTGTGGAGTTAAATATAGACCTTTAGTTGAAATCAGCGATTGATGGGTTAAAAAAGGTAATTTTCAACATTATGTCAAAATTTACTTACGATCAACAATGGGTGAAGATCGCTTAAATGGACTGGCATCATTGAATATACTTCGTAATATAAACGTGAACATCAATCAAGCACTGAATCAATTCTTTTCTGTACCTCACCGAGTAAATTTATTAAAAAAATTATTTGTATTTTATAGTTTTGTTAAAAAAAACCCTTTTCATATAGTACTTATAATATTAATAATAAATATACAAATGTTATAATACTATTTGCTAATTATTGATGTATTGATGTATTTTTTTTTTTTTAAAACCACTTCCATTATAAAATCCTGCGCATGGGCTTGCATCGCACAATCATAAGCGATGATCGTACTGTCAGAGTATGATATTCATAACGACATTTATATTTTCATGTTCCATGTACTCACACACTTTAAAATGTGATATTATTGAATGTTTTATTTACAATCAATAAGAATAATTCCAGCAAGTGTTTACAAAACGTGACAAATGATCGGAGAGTTAATACATTTGAACGGAACCTTTTTTTTTTTTTTTTAATTTTAAGTTTTCATCAACATTATTACCTATGTCATTTATCACGAGTATGTTAATAGACATGTTTTAATCATTTATAAAGAAAAATACATTAATTATAAAATATATTTCTATATACTGTTTGACAATACAATATTTTTATTAATATATATCAGAAAATCGGAGGAACTTTGATCACGGTATTAAAATTCATTGCATGTTTATCGCTCGTACCGAAATGTTAGGTCTAAAAAAAAATCACAACTCAGGAGTTTTCAAAAAATTCGTAAGTCAATATGTTTGAATTTTTGAACCTATACTTCTTCTAATAAAAAGTAAAAACGTATACATCAAACGAATCATTCTTTTCGTCGAAAAAAATAACTTTAAATATTTACTATGAATGTTTAGGCTCTATTTATTTACTTAAAAGTGATGCCAAAAATGTATTAATCGAAAAAAAATAAACAGTTGTAAAATAAATAACAAGCGTATAAACAATTTATCCCGGTGATGCTAACAATTTTTTTCGCGGCCCTCAATGGTTATTCACCCTCAATGGTTATTCAATATCTACAGTTATTTAAGGATCACTCCACTATCAGAAAATAATTATTATTTTAATAAAAGAAATACATTTTGTGCAGATGTATATTGATGTACCTGTGTTACCATTGTAGTTTATGTCCAAACCGTCTTCTCTCCGCCACATTATGTAAGGTTCAGGATATCCCTGGGCTTTGCACTGCAAGAGCATGTCCGATCCTTCTTTCACTACGAGGTCCATGCTGGATTCTTCGTCGATCACTCTGGGTGGGACTTAGAAAAAAAAAAAGTTATCACAATATCCGTGTCTGTGGTATGTGCAATAAAATAAAATAATAGTTCTGCAGGTGATATACTATTTTAGTAGAAATAATCATTTTTACAACATTTTCATGTCTCACCGACCACTTGCAGATATCCTTTTTGGCTGGTCATGGGCTCCGTGTTGATCTGGCACATGTACCAACCTCTGTCGGTTTCTTGTACATTACGGATGTGCAAGAACCACGTACGATGATCGTTGTAAGTCAAGGTTATCCTGGAGTTTTCCGTTACCATTCGGTGGTGTATTGAAAGTATGGTCTGAGTGCTAACACGAACCCAAGCGACCTACAATTTAATGTAAAAGCGTATAAAATATGAGTGGATACAATGAAGCTGCATAGAGTAATATATTGAAATTAATTTGTCAATAACGACTAGTACCTACTCGACTTGAGGGGTGCGCAGGGGGACGGAGTACCCCGACTAGTTTTCAGAAATTTTAGTGCCCCCTACTATTATTACGTTATAATTATAACGCTTAACAAGTTTTGGGGACGCTTTTTTTTTTTTAAAGTAAATAGAGTCCCTCTTCTTTAATTTTGCCAAGTCGAGCATTGATAACGACAAAATAAGTATAACATATATTGCGGTATTTAGAACAATTATTAATACCTCACAAATACACTATCGGAGGAATATAACGATGAAACCCGGTGCAACGCCTCTAATTTAAATTAGCATGGGGTTGTTTTTACACACTACATGTTATACAATAATAACACGCGCCGTTAAGCGTATCATTTATTTTATATTTTTTTCGTGATACAATCAATTTCATTTTGGGTAGGCAACCATTTATTACTGCACCCTTATATTTTTAATGATATAATACATCAATGATACATTTTATCAGTTTATATAACGTATACTACAAGATAATGGGTGTTGTTAGATGGGCGTATTCAATACAAAGACATACCGTATACCGATAACCGTATAATCGATAATAAGTAATAATGATCGAAGAATTACAAAAATATTTTGTAAAGTAAAAATAAACAATAAATGTATTTCGATCGAAAGTTGAAGAAAGAGAAATATTTTCCATTTTTCTTTAATATACTGATGAATCACCGGTATTATTATATTTTAGTCGGTTTTTGTGGTAATCAATGGAAAAATTTTTTCAGATTTCGGTTAACGATGGACGGTACTCTATTATTATTATCATCATCGACATCGCGAGTGTGGCTAATCGATTAGATAATATTATGATGTTTGGCAACAATAACGTCTTAATGCAGCACATACGTCGGCTCTAGAACAGTTTTGAATTTGGACACGGAGAGATTCTGCTGAATGAACCCTTTGTCGATGGAAGTACCAAACGAATCCATTTTATAATAATTCATTGAAAAATATTAGAAGAATTTGGAATGAGTAAAAATGAACTACCAATAGGAGTATATCATTTTGATAAAATATTAGTAATTATAAAATAACTACCAACGATGTAGCGTTTTAATCTTTTCAATAACTTATTTTAAGAATTTTCGATAGCGAAACTAAATAATTAATATTTTACAAATGTTAATATACAAATTATTTTGAATCCATTTTTTTATCGAAATACTAAGAACGCTGCTATATTATATCTCAGATATAATATATTCTACGATTTAAAAAAAAAAAAAAAGTATATAAATAAATAAAAAGTAGCTTCTACAATAAATTTATTCTGAATGAGTTATGTATTATAGTTTTAAAATTGGCTTATTTGTTTTAGATCATTTTAAGATCTTCACAAATAAATAAGTTTGAGAACCGTTAAAATATATAAAAAGTCAAGAATACCAATATATATCGTTACCAGAGAGCGAGAAATATTTAATTGCCGACCGTGACGACGACTAGATTTGATGCCGTTAACGAAGTGCGGAAACTCGTACAGCTACGCGAATAAACCGTGTACATAAGCGATACGTCTTGATATTACGTACCATCGATCAATTAAGAAGTTTATTTCCATTGACAACATTGTGCTCTACCTCTATGGGGGGGGGGAGGGAGGATACAATTCTTTATATATTATACAAGGAGGAGAGAAAATTTGTATTTATCTCATATTTACGCGAAGGCGTTTAAATTCGTGTGTATTACTCGCGGCTTAATATGAGTGGTACGCAAGAGCTCCTTTACCTCTCGCAACGCTTACGAAGCGTCCCCATAAACATTTCTTCGGAAAACACATTGAAATGTTCAAATGATTGGTCAAAAATAATCACTCAAATTAAAAACTTCAAATTAGTTACATCGGTATAAAAACATTTTTTCAAAAAATTGTTTTCATTTGTAACTATCAGCTTTATTACGTCTTGTCATTGGTTGACCGTAGCATGTTGGTTCGAGAATATTTGAATAACTCATTATGGTATTGAGTAACCATAGCAATTCTTGTTACTTAAGCCCGATTACTACAAAAAAATTGGTGTAGTACGAAAAGTAAAATGTGTACAACGAAATTGTTATACACATAATAAAGTGTTATTCGTTAGGGTCGCCAAAAACAGTTACTTACATACGAGTAAATTGGAAATATCATAAAATTTGTTTGTTTATGATATGTGTTCGGAAAAAATTGTATAATTTCTATATTTGTGATACATTTAAGTCACCAACCATCGCTAATATGCAAATCCAGAGATGTATTATCTCGATGATCGCTCTTTCACCTGCTGAACAGGTATATATATATAAGATCCTATCATATTTCTGTATCTCAGTGAATATTGGTCGAAATCAGGGAGCCAGTAGCCATAAATTTACTTCTTGGTGAGTAAAATTAAGTATGAACATTTTAGAAAGATACGATTTTTTTCCAGTCCACAAATAAAACTGGAGTTTTCCCGTTTAATTTGCTTAGCGGATGCATTCAACAGTGTTACTTTTTTAATTTTGAAGCGAACATTTTTAATTAGGAGTATATTCAAGGGGAATAGTAAAGCTTTCAGATCCTTCAAACGAATTTTTATTTACAAAATCGAATCTTTTGGCACATACGACCTTCTGTTATAAGGCGAAGATATAAATATTATAATAATTATCGTAAGAACGTGTGGGTAATTTTCCTTATTTTAAAAACCTGTTTTCTAAAATTTAATTTAGAGAGTTCGTTGAGGTCTGAAAACATAAATTATGATTATCTGTATTACTTTTTTGATATTTTAGAATCATTCAGGGATTTTTATTGTAATTTTTATTGTCGTAAAACATGAACAATTTTAATTTTTCGTAGTTTTCAGGTTTAGTGCACTTTAAAATAGTTAGAATTTTTGCGGGGAAAAGAAGGTTTGAAGGCTCTGAAAGCTTTCCAGTTCTCCTCAAACATGTTCATAATTAAATAATTTTCATTTCAAAATTTAAAAAGTTACATTGTGTTCAATGCATCCGATAAACTAATTAAATGGAAAAATTCCAGTTTTATTGGCGGACTTGAAAAAAATCCGTATCGTTCTGAAATGTTTACATACAATTCTACCAGCCAGAGGTAACTTTATGAATCCCTGATTCCGACCAATATTCACCGAGATACAAAAATTTGATACATGTGCACAAAACCGTCACAGTGAAAATAATCATTTGAAATATGTAAATGTGCGTGCAGTACAAATATACGATGGCGTTTACACGATAAATATTAAATACTTATCACGTGTATAAGTATGTGTAAGCCGAGCACGCGCATATGTGTTCTTCCGCGAGATGAGAAATAAAAATAATAAAAATTTGATTTACTACTGTTCGTGCGCTCACCACGCTCTCGCCGGGGAATAGTACGCAATAAAATTTGCAAATCTTTCGCGTAATGTGTTTACGATCATGGGCCATCCGGTGGCCCGATCTACTAACGGTATACACAATGTATTACACATGTGTAAATATCCGCACAGTATTATGAATAAATACGTGGTGCCGTGATGTATTATCGCCGGTGTGCACGACCCTCGTACGCATCGCCGTCGCCCGAGGTGGTGGGATTTGGGCGACAAACGAGTTGGGCGGAGTGTCGGCAACCGTATACTAATAGGATTGTACGTGTGTGTGTGTATGTGTGTGTGTGTGTGTGTGTGTGTGTGTGTGTGCTTTAGCGCTGCAGTAGATCACGTCACGACATCATACCGGAAGGATACTTGGGATGCAGCTCGCCTCGGATATCCTGTGGGACCAACCTGTACTCGTAGTAGTATTAGTGCATATACGGACCATCACGGGATTGTACACAGCTCAGGTTTACCCTGCAGCGGTGTCTCGCGCACGTGTGTGTTTAAATCGCTCGTTCCGGCATACTCGATGTGTAAATATAAAAAAAAAAAAAACTTTTCGCGCTGTAAACACGACTTTGGCGACCGTTTGCGAGCACCTGATCACCGGCGACAGGAAGGGTCCGTCCTGGGGCGATAACAGAAATTCCAGGTGACAATTGTTAAACCGGACGTTATTATTAATTCGATTAAAATTTGTGGCGCACGATATCCGTGAGCACATTCAACGGCACCTACATTTTGAACATTTAATCGGAGAGTCGAAATTGTAAATCGAGTGAGATGAAGACGATTTTCTCGAGGGTTCGTGGACGGTTTTATTTTATCCGATTTATGTAAGCGTTCGAACCGCCTCTGGGGTATATAATATATATATATATATATATATATAAATGTATTATAATACGTGGTGGGTATATATCACGAATAGCGCGTTGTTATTATTATGTTCGTGGTGCGCGCGTACGAGGTGCGGTGTATAAATAAGTGGCGGCGTGCGAATGACGAGGAAGGAAAGAAAAAAATCCTATATCCACGTTACGCGACGATAGACGTGTGTTTGTAAAACAGAACGTTTTTTTTTTTTTATTTATTTTTAATTTTTTTCCTTTCTACCCGATTTCTACGCAATAGCCTATAGGTAATCGACATGGCACGTCTGAAACGTGATTACACCGGAATCGACTGCGTTTGCGTGTGCGGTTTTCTTTCCGTTTCGTCTCGAATTTTTGATTCTTTATGCATTAACGTCATGATTAATCGGACGCTCATGCGAACGCCTCGCAGGTACGCAATGGATAACTACGATCACACGATAAATACGTTCTCACGTGACCGCCGGACGAGTCGTACATACATCGCCAACCACCGTTTTTAGGCCGCGGGTCGTAAACGGACTTTCGTTTTGGTGCTTGTTATGATATGCGATGGATTTCATACCGACTGCTTAAACGTGATCTGCGATACACCGCTGTCTATAAATTGTATTATTACGTGAGCGGAATGTTATTCGATAAATGTTTA